TACATTGTCTATCTTTGCCTTTCCCTACGAGGTGTTTTTGGTCTTTTGAAGTTTTGTAAGTTGAGGGGAGGATTATTCAAAGCTAAAGGGGTGGGTTTTATTAAGAATTTGGGCAACACCTAAGTGGACATATAGGAGTAACATTTATCGGGTGTTGGGAGGGTAGGAGGGGGCAGGAGGGGATGGGTATATACAACCACAACGAGTAAGATGTGCAACATTTGGGGGATGAATACGCTTGAAGCTCTTACTCAAGGGGGAAGGGGGTATGGGCAATATATATAACCTTAAGACTTGTACCCCCATATACCCTAAAGAAAATTAAAAAAAAAAAGAATTTGGCAGTAATTCTCAGAATTGTTTTCCTCCCATTTTCATATTTTATATACTTGTTTTGGAACTGATATGGTGATTTCAAAGGGCGGAGAAATTTTAAAGCCACAAAGCAAATGATATTGTAATTAGCCACCTGTAAGGTGACCTAGGTAACTGACAATCCAGTTGAAGCCACTTCTTGTCTGTGGTTATCGCCCCACCTTGTTTAGACTTTAACACCGGCACCCACTCTGCAAGCCCCCCCATCCCACGTTGCCCTGGCTCCTAGTCTCCCCCGCTCACATGCGACCACATTTGTCCCCGTTATCCCTCTTTCCCATGCGTTCTCCAGCCAGTCATGGCTTTGAGTGCTTCCTACACTCACGGATCCCATATTTGATCTCCCAGCCAGAACAAGACTCAGACACCCACTGCCTACTCAATATCAAGACTTTGCAAACTAATCAATGGTCTTTAGAAGAATCAGGGTTACCCCTGGGTGGGTGGGCTGGGTGCTGCCTGGAAGGAAGAGATCTTGCCTTGTATCTTGACCTGGCTGGTGATCACTTGGGTGTTTATTGTAAGGGAGGGAAAAAAATAATTTTCCTTCTAGTCTTTTGAGTTCTCAGCTGGGACCCTGTAACCCGGCGCAGATTAGTAAGAGAAAAACAAACAAGTTTACCAACATGTGTACCTGGTATAAACCCGGGAGATGCCCAGCCAATCAGTAACTCTCAAAGAGGTGGCTTGGAACTCCCTGTTTATAGCACACCTTCAACAGAGAATAATACAATTTTAGAGACATGACAAGACAAGGGAACAGGACCCTGAGTGTCTAGGGCCGACAAATGGTGGGCAGACAAAACGAATGGCCGGCTAGGAAGAAACAATGGGAAACTCGTGGTGAAAGAGGCTAGTTAGTAAAGGCACCTCCAGTGTTGTCTCTCGGCTGACGGACAGGCCGTCCTTGGTCATCAGACTTTGTCCTTTGTGGCAGAGAGGAGGGGAGGGACACTTTTATCTTTGTAATTCTCTGTTCTGTTTTAGGCAAAGAGGGGGAGGGCAGAGAGCTTTCTTTGTATCTATTTCTTCTCAATTGCCTCCAGCTCAAGAGAATCCTTATGCCAAAGTGGCACATTTTGGGGTGGCATATTCTGCTACCCGCAGCCACAGATGTCAAAATTTATTGAACTGAGTACATCATTACGTGTACTTAATTGTATGGAAACTCCACCACAACGTACAATTTAAAACTAACAGTTTGCACAGATTTAGCACACCAAAAGTGTTTCATTATTATTTTGATTCCACACCATCTAAACTCCCTCCAGACTTGAATTTCATAAGGTTTCATGATATGTGCAGTAACCTTGTTTTCCTCATTCCCAGCCAGAAAATCATTCGGCCCGTGGAGACATGGATTTCCAGACACGCTACACATGGTATGCACAAGGGCCGCACTGCGGGCCTTCCCGGGAGGGTGAGAACGTGAGGCTGGTGACGGTGTGCAAAGGTGACGCGGGAGGAGCCTGGGCCCTGGGGGAGGGGCCGGCTCTGCTGAGCTGCCGTGGCACCCTCCAGACAAGGAATAGGCGCGCCTTGAGGTGGGCGCTGTCTGCCCGCTAGTCTCCAATATGCAGGTGGAAATATGGTCCCCCAGGGGAAAAAATCTCCACGGAGCTAAACTAAATATTTTGGAGAGCGAGTCAAGATTGAGGGGCACAGCGTCAGGCAACGGAACCCTAAGGGCAGAGTCACCCCACCCCGAGGCCACCTCCGTGAGTCCCATGAACACAGGAACTCGATCTTTTGGTTCATGTACCACCAAGGAAGCCCTTTAGTGCTAACAGATTACTGAATTTAAGCTAAATTACCCATTACTCAGCAGATGCAGCACCACCAGCCCCAGCACAAGGTGGGCCAGCAGCGGATATCTGCAGGGGAATGAGGTGCACTGTGTGTGCTATCTCACGGATCCAGACTGAGCCCTTGGCAGATGCTGGAGACACCGCCGCCCGGCACGGGATGTGCTGAGACACGTCCACATGGGCGACGTTGGGTTTAACTAAGAAACGCAGGAAGCCGAGCTTCCGCTAGGCACCAATCACATCAAACACAAAACTTTACAGCTAATGCACAGCGGCGGTGTTGATCTTTGCAGCTCTGTACGTATTTGCTGTTTCTTCTTACCCCACACGCGTGCGGACACAGATGGGGGGCTAGACTGTGGCCTCTGTGCCTTCCGGGGTGCTCCCTAGGGCTCCCCTCGCCCTCCTCCCGCCGTCCCCACCACGGGCCCTGGTGGCCTTCTGTTCCGTTAACTGATTCACATCAGTTAACTTGCTTATTCATTGGGCCTAGGTTTATTAATTCATTAACACTAAAGGGTTTCCTCGGTGGTCTATTGGGTTTCGAGTCTTTTCCATGGAGGAATTGTTTGTGTGCAGAGATATTATTTGGAAGGTAAATCAATTCACGAGTGTCCGTGCACTGTGGTGAGGAAGCCCTGGCACAGACGGAGGCGGGGTGGGCCTCCATGCTCTGGCCCGTCCAGGGCGCCTGACCCCGTCCAGGGCACCGTCTCGCCCCCCACGTTCCTCCGGAAGAGCCCCCTGCTCCCTGGGCTTTAGGCCCCTCCCCCGAAGGGTAAGGAGGCAGCTCAGGTCCCCTGCAGGGCTCCTGCCTCCTCTGCTGCTCCCTCTGGGCCAGGGTGTCTGGGTCATGGCCAGGGCATCTGTGTCGTCATCAGGCCTCCTTGCTGGCTCAGATGGCCCTGAAGGACAGGCACAAATGGCCCCAGGCGGGAGGAAGCCCCCCAAGCCGTGGGCTTTGCCTTCACCTGACCCTGCTCTCCTATGAAGGCAGAAAACGTGAACCTGGCCGGCAAAGATCCCCTCACCCTTTGTCCTGCACCGTGCTGGGGGAAAGGGGCCTGGGTGCCTGTGTCCCAAACTTCTTCCCTGGATCTGTCCCTCCACTGGACCTAAGTTTCTTGTCTGGCGTAGGATCTTAGCAGTTCCCTGCTGCCTCTCTGCCATGGCAATCTGAGCAAGGCCGACACCCTCCCTCAGAGGGTTCACCCTTCCCCGGCTCTTTGTCCCAGGCGCAGGTGACTTGTCTGTCCCTCCAGAGGCCCCTCTTAGTGTTGCTTTTCTTCAGGGAACCAGTAGCTCGGAGGCCCTGGGCTTCTCAGGGGACCTTGAGGAGAATGCGGGCTGGGGGACGGATTTCACAGTTGAGAGTGGAAGAAC